GTCTACTGCTCCGCAGGGGCACGCACCTCCCCTCCTCGTCAGCGGTGTACACGTGCGAGAATTGGAACCCCTGTTGGATGTGGTAATGTTGGCGCCTACAGCCCCCCTCCTCTTCAGCGGCGGTGTATGCATTCGAGAGTTCAAACCTGCTGGATGTGGTTCGCTTGGGAGAATAGCCCGCCTTGTGACTGAATGGTACTGATACCACGCATCGCGTGGGGGCGCAGCCAGGACGGCGGGGGAAGCGCCAAGCTCATATCCGGCATACAAACAAGTCCCAATAGACATACTACCTGGCTGCACAGCCGAACGCTGCATTGCATCGACGACCTGGCGAGCCTGACCGCACAAAACAAACTAAACTGTGGACGTGATTGCAGTCAGATACATTTACTGGGCCCGTTTGAAATAAAATTCCAAGCTAAAAAAAAAATAAAAAAAATGGCGATGTATCGTTCCATGTTCTAACGAAGGATTCAGTCTCATTTTGCACGGTCGAAAGATTCAGTCTCATTTTGCACGGTCAGAGAGTAGCACCGCAACAAAAGCCCCGGTGCGCGCACGGCAAGGATCAAAATCGCGTTTAATTTTCTCCTCCGTCGATCTCCCAATTTAACGAACGGCAAGATAAACGGTTCCCAACTTTCCTGTACTGGAAACAGGGCGCATCCCGCAATTCATCCAAAGACCGTACCACCCTCCCCGCGACCGCCGCCACGTTGGCTCACGGAACGACCGGTCGGGCTAAAGACCGTACCACCCTCCCCGCGACCGCCGCCACGTTGGCTCACGGAACGACCGGTCGGGCTAAAGACCGTACCACCCTCCCCGCGACCGCCGCCACGTTGGCTCACGGAACGACCGGTCGGTCTCCTGTTAGCCGCGACGGCCTATATACCCATACACCTTTTTTTTTTTTTTTTTTTTTTTTTAAAATGTTTGTTTGATTGCAAAGGTGAAGAAACGGGACCCCACAATTCAACCCGGAATAGTATCCTCTGGCAGCATTAGCCAGTTTCGCTTTTTAGGGCCCCTGTTAGGAACCGAAAGTCATCAGTTTGAATTGAAAGACTAACAAAAGGTTTCAACTATGCTATCCTACTCTGGTGTAGGGAAGCAAAGGTAGTAAGGGGGAGTGTTACTGTTATAGTCTCAGAATAGGGGATCTTAGGTCAGGAGGTTGAGACTACCAAAAAAAGGATGATCAGAGCTGCCGGATGGGGGAGAATGGCAGAGTGAAGGGAGACGGTGGTTTGAAGGGAGGGAAGAAGGGAAGGGGGGGAGGGGAACTACGGGGCTGGGGAGAGGAAAGAGGGTGAGGGGACTACACTACTGGTCTCTCGGGCCTATGAACAATTTGGCCTGGACTCAGCCTAAATACGTGTGACGCGCAACCTCACGCCCTGCGCTGTTTTCCATTCGGAGTGCTAAAGGTGCAGAAGGGAGGCCCCGAAAAACAGCAAGATGGGGTGTGCCAAGGATTTTTGGAAAATTGAGTGTGGGGACACATACGGAACTGAAATCCCCCGTGTTGATCTAATGAAGTGAGAGATCTGGTTGGCGGCGACGCGGATTTTGAGGCGACGCGCGCGCGGGATATGTGACGCGAGGAAGTTTAAATTCAATCCAGAAAATATTGTCGGACCTCCCACCGAGCCACGGCTCGGCGTTTGGAGTGGAAGGGAGCGGGCACGCGTTTAGTATCCCGCTTTCGCACTAGCTCCCGACGTTGCACATTGCAGAATTCTAAATCCGACGTGGACGGTCTTAATCGCGTGGCCCTTTCCTTGTGCTCATCCTCATTCCGTGTTCGGTAGTGGAACCCCTTCGATTGGTAGTGGTCGAGTAGTTGGCAATCACTGCACAAGGTGTTAGGCCAATGGGGCGCTACTGCTGACCATGGGATGATGGTAATAGCAACGAGTACGGCGGGAAATGCGTATCGACGATGACAAACCCAGCGCCGACAAACCTAGAACACCAATTTTCGGGAGGGAAGTAGTATTGCCCACCGATCTTTGCGACTGCTTTTCGTATGTCCCACTCACAGATTCGCGTCCTGTCCTCGTTATACAGGAAGGGGCGGAAAGGGGCTACGAGGTTAGGAACGGCCCTTTCCATTAAATCCGCATATCTCTTGGCTTTGGCCTTAAGGGCCGTACGCGTGTCCCGACCCCCTTTTTCGGCAATTTCTGTGGTACCTCGATTGTCGACACATGAGAGGCTATTAGTTCGAAGCTGGAAAGGGGTGAACCCTGTGGACTCGTGAGGGGTGGCTCGGTGGATTCCGACGATTTGATAGACTATCTCGGGCCACGGACGCGTGTCGCGGGCCGCTAAGTTCTGACGGAGGGCGGTCTTAATCATGCGATTCGCATTCTCTGCCAGCCCGTTCGATTGTGAAACATGGGGAGCGGTGTGTCGGAGCGTAACGCCACGACACATTAGTAATTCCTCTACCTCACCCTTAAATTCCGATCCATTGTCGGTCAGAATCTCTTCTGTATCTAGGTGGGTATTGAGGAATCGTTCGATGTATGTGGCTATCTCTGAGGCCTTTCGGGTTTTACACGGATAGACTTCGATATATTTCGAGAAATGATCGATCAACACCAAAAGAATAAAGTATTCGCAGCGGTTGGGGTCAGGTGGCACGTCTATATCGGTTGTGTCCATACTGACCCGCTGAAACGGTCGTTCCACCTCTGTAGGAACTATTGTATTTGGCCCACGGAGGGGTGCGCGGTCGGCAGCACAGACTAGACAGTTAGCGACCACGTGCTTCACATCGTCAAGGATATTAGACCAGAACCATCGATTTTGCCCGATAGTTGCCTCGGTGACACGTATCGCAAAATGAGCGGCCTGTTCTTCGTGCGTGGACCTAGTTCAGTCATATCTTTGAAAAGGGTAGGGAACCGTCAGCCATAGTCTTGATCCGTCCGTCTTATGCTTTTCTAAATGTCTGTTGATCCATCGATAGTCTCGGGATCTTTCGGTAGCCCAACGTCAGTCATGCTTAGTGAGATGGTCCAATGGTAGGACCGCTAATTTAGCTAATAATATTTTATTTGTCCATTCCTCCGCTCGTCGGTATTTCTCGTCGTATTCAGGGTCGTCCGTTCGGGCGGCCTCGAATCGAACCTCAGTAGGGAGTTTGTCTGTCCTACACAGGGGGCACCTCCATTCCTTACTACTCGTTCTGTATTGAACGCACGCACCATGTGCACGATTGACACATGTGACACAGTTCACCCAATCGGCAAATCCAAATTCAAAGGGGTAGCAGTTTACTCCGTAAACTCGAGAAATACACGTGCAAAAATAACCAAATTTGTCCGGAAGAGTGGTGAGAAAGTCTGAATGGGCGAGGGGAGAAGAAGAGGTGGGAGAGACCGAGTCAGGGGGAGTTTCCATCGTTTCGAGAGACAAGAACCGTAGAGGGAAGGCCGGGAGAGGCAGGGTCGGGTACACGTGTCCACTTAGCCCTTCGGTAGAATCTCCACTTGTCCGTATCGAGGCTCGTTCTTTGGCTCCGAGTCGCGCCAAGGGGTCACTTCCTTACTCCTTGGCACCTTGTCGGGACGGTGAAGTCATGTCAGTCCATCTGCGTTGTCATGTTTCTCGTGTTTCCGATGACAAATGTCAAAGTCCATGCTCTGCAGTATGGTGGCTCATCGCCCGATCATGTTTGAGTAATCCTTGGACTTCTTCAGCGCCAACAGTGGTTCGTGATTGGTTACCAGCGTAAATCTTCGGCCATATAAGTACGCTCGGAAATGACTGATCCCCCACAAGGCTGCATAGCATTCCCTCGTCGGGGCCGCGTAGTTGCGCTTACAGGTCGGCACCGTTTTGAAACGCGTATTCCACCACGTGTTCGAGGCCGTTGGGTCACACCCGGGCCAAGATCGCTGAAACCGCCTCCGGTTGCCAATTGGTGATGAGAACAAAGGGTTTTTCCGGGTCCGGCCTTATGAGGATTGGGGCCGAAACCAGGGCCGCCTTGAGTTCTCCAAAAGCCCGATCTCATTGCGAGGTCCAGATCAACGGTTGATCCTTCTTTAGCAGATCCGTGAGGGGTCCCGCGATCGCGGCAAATCCCTTGATGAACCTTCGATAGTACGACGCCAAACCCCAAAAGACGCGGACTTGCGTTACAGACGTCGGCACCGGTGCGTCCTTCAGGACTGTCACTTTCTGGGGTCCTGGTTGCAATCCTTGGCTCGTAACGACGTGGCCGAGGAAGGAGATCTCCGTGAGGAAAAACTGACACTTCTCAACCGCCACTTTGAATCTTGCGTTCTTCAGTGCGTGCAGTGTCTACTCAATGTGTTGCACGTGTCCCTCGTAGGAAGTAGAAAAGACAAGGATATCATCCATATACACAATCACACAGTAATTGATTATGCTCTGCGCCAGCCACGTTTTTCGCACGAAGTTTTGGAAAGCCATATTCATCGCGCGTTGAAACGTGGTTGGGGTGTTGCAAATCCCCATCGGGCATCTGACCCATTGCAAGGTTTCTTCGAAAAGAATGAACGCCGTTTTCGGTCGGTCTTCTTTTCGAACCAGAAGATGGTGGAATCCATGACGAATATCAAATTTACTAAAGAATCGAGCACTACCGATAGCATCCAACAACTCATCAATCCGGGGAAGAGGATACACATCCTTGATCGTGATATTTTCAGTGGTAGATACATATGCGAATTCCTCCTGCTTTTTTCGGTACAATCACTACTGGAAACGACCATGGTCCGATAGCGGGTTCGATCCAACCATTAGCTTCGAACTCCTTAATCCTCTTAAATGCGGCCGCTCTTCAGCAGAAAAATTCCCACGAGAAATGAAATTTGAAAAAACATTCCATAAAAATAAAATCCTTCATATTTATAAATTATCATTCCAATGTTCGTCCAATTCTAAAATTTTCAATTTAATTTGATAAGTTCCCGTCTGAATATGAGTTTTTCCTTCCAACTAAATCTATTTGTTCA